AGCAACAGCAACAGCAACAGCAACAGCAACAGCAACAGCAACAGCAATAGCAACAGCAACAGCAACAGCAACAGCAACAGCAACAGCAACAGCAACAGCAACAGCAACAGCAACAGCAACAGCAACAGCAACAGCAACAACACCAACAACAGCAACAGCAACAGCAACAGCAACAGCAACAGCAACAGCAACAGCAACAGCAACAGCAACAGCAACAGCAACAGCAACAGCAACAGCAACAGCAACAGCAACAGCAACAGCAACAGCAACAGCAACAGCAACAGCAACAGAACAGCAACAAGAACAACAACAAGAACAACAACAAGAACAACAACAAGAACAACAACAACAACAACAACAACAACAACAACAACAACAACAACAACAACAACAACAACACAAGAACAAGAACAAGAACAAGAACAAGAACAAGAACAAGAACAAGAACAAGAACAAGAACAAGAACAAGAACAAGAACAAGAACAAGAACAAGAACAAGAACAAGAACAACAACAACAACAACAACAACAACAACAACAACAACAACAACAACAACAACAACAACAACAACAACAACAACAACAACAACAACGGTCGGAAAAAGTAGGTTTGGGGCGGACAAAAACAGAACCCCATTTTGACATCTGGTCTTTCGGAGGCGTTCTGCCGGTCTGACCGCGCCAACGCCCTCGGGCGATTTCCTTGGCCACATTTCTGGCCAAGGGTTGCGCTTCTTGTGGCGACTTTTGTGGTTGGCCGTGGCGGCTGCGGTTGTCGTTAACTCGCCCCTGAGAGCTCTCAAGCACAAACCGCGCCCAGTGTGCTCGGGAAACTTCAGTATCTCGAGAACCCAACCCAAACGAAGAAAACCACGCGCAGGAGCCACTCTGGACCAGCTTGTATGCACTAGCCACCACAAGTGGAGAAAGGTGTCAGTGGAAATATAGTGGGCTATATATATATATATATATATACACATACATATACACGAATATGATTGTGTATGTGTGTTTCCATAATGTGATTTGTTGTTTTTTGGGGGCGGGGGGGGGGGGGGGGGTAGCACATTCGCGCTGTTGAATCTCGCTTGCTTTGGATCGCCCAAATCAGTCCAGACTGTTGTGTACCACACAATTGATTTGATCAACCAGCAGAGCTGAGAAATCACCATAGCTTGAGCACCAGGATGTATGTAGATATACATATGCATATATATATATACATATGTATATGTATACATGCCATTGATGCCCCATCGAGTATTTAGGGTTTCCGTCAGGAGTGCAACAAGACTGCGAGTGGCCCTGTCCTCCAGCACCTCATCCGACACGCCCTCTGTGCCTGAGAAGTCTGGAACAGTCCGACATCCGAAACAAGTTGAGCCTTTCCAGGTGGGCAAAGCCACCACAACATGGTCACAAACAGTTGAAGGTGGAAAGGTCCAAGCAAAAAGCAGCCAAGAACATTGACGCATGTACCAGTTATGTCCATTTTCCCCTCTGGGACAAATAAAGATTACTCGCAAATAGAGGAATACAAGGCTGACTTGCAAGGTTCTGCAGTTCCATTTGCGTTGTGAAGCACCCCCAATCTTTGCCATTTTTGGGCCTGATTATGCCTCATTCCTAGTCAGTTCTGAGCCAAACAGGCGACAGCGCAGTTCAAAGGACACCTAAGCACCTGGATGGAGCGCTGGCGAACCAAATGAGCTTTGCCTCCGGAAGCTTGGGCAGAAGATCTCGATCGCTTTTGGAAGTGGCAGGTTTCCGATCGACGTTTCAGAGAACAAGTTACCGATCGAGTCGGTTTGGAGGCCGACGTTCACGTTCACTCTGCCAGTCTACAAGCTGCCCCGTGGGATCTTCCTCATCCCCAGTACATTTCTATGGGAAGAGGTCTTTTTCTTTTTTGGCTTTTTGGGATGGAGGGGGGGCGGAGGGAATGGATCTTCTTTTTCCCAGGTTGCTGGTTGGCTCGTACGCCCCGGAAAAACAACATGACGCACATGTTCCCCCAATTAAATTCGCAAAGAAGCCGCTTCAAACCCGAGGCTTGGGCTTGTTGCTTGCTTCAACCCAAGTGATCAAAGGGCACTTTTCCTCCGTGAGGCTCCAACTGGTTCTTTGGGGATTAAACAAGTTTCAACTTGCAACCCGTTTTCAAGGAACCCATGGGCCAGGTCCCTGCAAGGATGCCACGGGTCACAAAATCACCTTCAGCTGTTTTAACTCCTCGTGCAGAGCGCGTGCTTTGAGCGTGGGATGCGGTGGGAGGAAGATCCCAAGCCTGAGTTGCTTGCTTTGTTCGGCCTTGTGTGGGAGGGTTTCCCTTGTTTTGGAGGGGGTTTCCCTAAAAGTATTTCTGAGTTGACTGGCCAGAAACATCAGATCAACAAACAATCCCTTCCCTTTTGTTCCTGGAAGTCCGACAATGAGGAAAACACATCAGGTTGGAATTGTGTTTTTGGTCTTTGGGTATATTTTGTGAAGGTTGAGACAACGAGTGGCGTCGTTTCCGTTATTTGCTCGTTGTTTTTGAAGAGGTTGCAACTCCGTCTCTGTTTAGGCCTTGGTATGTTAGCAGCACACTTTGCTGTTCGCAGACCCGCCCCCCGCCCCCCTCCCCAAAACCAAAAAAAATAAAAAGCGAAACCAACCAGCACTAAAAAACCAGAGAGGACAGGTTGGCTTCTTGCCTTTTTAGTCTCTCTCCATCGCTGTGGAAGCAAAACACTTTCTGCGATGCCAAAGTTGGATTGCGATCCAACCATAACCTCTGGGGTTTCCTTGGCCGACGACCTGAACCCTTCCATTTAACCCACGCGGGAAAAAAAGGAGGAACCCCTCCCCCCCCAAAAAAAAAGAGAAAGCTTGCGGATTTGCCTTTGGTTTCCCATTGAGCCACTTCTGAACTTCCCTCCAATTGGTGGTTTGATGCTTAAGGAGGGGTTTCCCCCCTCTACAAAATCCGGGGACCCGTAATCCAAATCCAAAGCACTGAGCTCGAAACCACTAATTGAGGGGTTACCTGATTATATATCTATGTCTATATCTATATCAACATAAATAAATATATATATATATACATATATATATATATGTAAGTACGGAGGGTGGAAGAACTC